GGTTCAAGTTAAATACACAATGGTTTGAGTTAATTATACAATACTACTTATACAGTATTATGCAGTATTGTTCCGGCTTACATACAAATTTGACTTAAGGACAGACCTTGGGAATGGAACTCGTTCTTAAGCTGGGGACTACCTGTAATGAAAAGTAGTTCTCTGGGTATGAGATAAAAATAAGTAAGACTACCCATGTTAATCCATTAGATGCCTGCGTTTGTTCGTGAATGAAGGTGCTAAGCTTTGTTAACATCCTTTGTATTTATTTCAATGGATACAGAGCTCAGACAAGGGCACCCAAACCTGGTACTCTCCTGATAAGTTGGGACCATTAGTATCTTCTAGACATTTGGACTTTGTTGGTTGAGAAGTTTGGGGATTGTAGTATGAAGGACAGCAGGTTAGAGAAGACTGTTCTCTGCATTGCTCTAAGATGAATTCCATTAGAGTGGGGGGGATGTGATAAATATAATTATATGTATGCATTATTTTTTTTTAGATGCCAGGAAAAAGATTTGCTTATAATGAATATCTATCAGGTATGTTTGACCCAGTGGATGAAGACAGTATATTAAAGGAATCTGTTGAACACTCAAAGAAATTGTGGTTGTATCCTGGAGGGTTTGCAAATCCTGGATTTAAGAGCAGCATAGACTCCAACAAGCATCCCCGTATGCCTGATGAGGCACGACTGATGGAATTAAGAGAGGTAACTATGAATTTTAGGTTCCATCAACTTGTCATGTCTGTAAGCTACTAGGAACAGCATATTTCATCACCACAGCACTGTGAGGAAAATTCAAGAACTGATATTTGTCCCAGGTCAGGTTTATAAGCCGAATGCAGGAATGCAGACTTGAACCTCACTCCAGTGTTATTGGTAGATCTCTTTATTGTCTTGAGGACACCAAGCAAATTCCTGCAGACAGGCTGATCAACAGCATGTGCTTATTAGGTTATGCTTGATTTGTACCGATGCTATTGCTAAATTTAGTGTAGCGTTTTGAAATTTATAGTCCAATGCACATTTAGTAAGTCTGTCCTTGTTTCACTTATTCTTGAGAACAGGTTGCATTTAAAAAAAAATTACGATCTTACTTCTTCTGAATGGAAAGGTGGTATAGAAAAGTTTTAAAATAAACTTACTTCTAAAAGTACTGGTTAATGACTTAATCTTGGGGGCTGTATTATGTTTTGAACAGCTATACTTTGCAATGGATCTGAATCTTTTTTCACTTTAATTACTCCTTTAAGTGCAGGGATGTAGAAAAGGGAGTGACTTGCTGCTTCAATAAGCAAATCAATATTGGAATGAGGCCTAAATTTATAGTATTTCAGGTGTTTCCCTGAATACAGTTGTATGACTGAAGGATACCACTCTGTGCAGTATTGCAGCAGAAAGTGTATACAACAGAAAGGTGCATGGGTGTGTTAATGTAAGTGCTGCATTTCTTCTGGGTCTGAATCCAGGTAGCTCTTTTCATGTTATTTAATTTCAAAGTCTTCTGCAGATAGTAATATCTACAGATCCCATTACAATACAGTTGATATTGGAAATGAGATTTAGACTTGAATACTTTATCCCTTTTCCTAGGAAAAAGAGCCAGCGAACTCAGTATTTACTTCTGGTAAACATACCTAGGGTTATGCTGTTAAACATGTAGGAACAGCAATGAGACATCTCCGCTTCTAATCCATATTTCACTGCATGCATGATTATAGTTGCTCAGGACCAGTGGCTTGGTTTCTGGATCTCTCCATGAAAGATGAAAGATGTGGAAGATGCTGAAGATCCTCAAATTGAGGAGAGTTAGATTGCATTCACTCCTGTCCCCTGGGAGGGCGCAAACTGAACCTGGTAGCTGGAATGAGGCAGAGAATCTATGGGTGAAGAAGAAACAATTGATGTTGTTTTTAAAATTTTGGTTATTTTATCCAGTTTCTAATTGTTAGCTGCCCAGAGTCATGTGTATGAGATGGGCAGCCATATACATTTATTAAATAATGAATAAATATTTTTTCCCTTTTGTTCTTCTTGGACCATGTTACATGGTCCAATGTCTGAGGCACCTACAGGGGCGTCTGCTTGTGCATTTTCTTTCTCATCCCACACCCCAGATAGCAGCCATTCATTCTATTCAAAACTTTGTTTTTATCTTCTACAGAACAAAGAGCTCACTACTTACCACAGGTTTTCTAAAACGTTTCCTGAAAATAAGCACTTTGATCTGCATCAGGGTAATAGTCATTTCAAGGTTCTTTTTAGTATACAGAAATTAGTTATTCTAATTAGTCATTTCTGTTGTCCAAAGCATATTCTGACTTACATAAATTTGATCAAAATCCATGCTCAGGGTACATGTGTATTAAAATGGTGTACAATTATAAATAGTGATAGAAAGACCTGATGGTATTTGACTGGTGTCCCAAAAAGCTTTGGATAGTACAGTTCAAATAGATTTCAGTGGTTATTTTGTTTTTAAAAGCTTTTTGCATAGTTCTGTCTTATCTGCTGGTTGCACCTGTTCCTGGATTGGCAGGCCCTGCTTACAGTCACTCATGTCCTAATTACCTCCAGATTGGACTACTGGATGGAGATTATCTATCTATCTATCTATCTATCTATCTATCTATCTATCTATCTATCTATCTATCTATCTA